CAAATATTTATATATGAAACATAATTTATTATGAATAAAATAAAACAAAAACTGTGAGAAGTTTGAAATGTTTTTTTAAAATTTGTAGTTCCGCCTCACATTTTTGCTGTAAATGTCATAATACTGTTAGCTTTTACTGCAAATAAAAGCACATATTTGGATTCAGCAAAGTCTCACGAGTACAACAGTAGCCCCCATTAACAGTTTATATGGTGTTTTGGAAAGTTAAAGGCTCAAATATAGCACATTCCATTTTTCAGTTTTTTCACATTGAAATTTGCCAGATTAGTAATGTTACCTTTGAGACCGTGTGGTAGCCCAGGAATGAGATTTACCCTCATGATGGCATACCATTTGCAAACGTAGACTACCCAAGGTATTGCAAGTGGGGTATGTGCAGTCTTTTGTAGTAGCCACTTAGTCAAACACTGGCCAAAGTTAGCGTTCATATTTGTTTTTGTGTGAAAAAAGCAAAAAACAAATATTTGGCCAGTGTTTGTAACTAAGTGGCTACTAAAAATGACTGGACATACCCCGTTTGCAATACCTTGGGTTGTCTACTTTTGCAAATGGTATGTCATCATAGGGGTAATTCTTATTCCTGGGCTACCATACAGTCTCAAAAGGCAACATAACCAATCTGGCAAATTTCAATGTGAAAAAAATGAAATGCAAGCCTTATATTTGACTCTCTAACTTTCCAAAACACCATAAAACCTGTACATTGTGGGTACTGTGTTACTCAGGAGACTATGCTGAACACAAATATTAGTGTTTCAAAATGGTAACTTGTATTACAACAATAATATCGTCAGTAAAAGTGCCGTTCATGTGTGAAAAATGCATAACAATCCACTTTTACTAAAAATATCATTGTTGTAATACAAGTTACCATTTAGAAACCCTAATATTTGTGTTCAGAGAAGTCTCCCGAGTAAAACGGTACCCCCCATGTACAGGTTTTATGGTGTCTTGGAAAGTTACAGGGTTAAATATAGTGCTTACAATTCAAATTCTCTACACTTTTTGCCTGGGTTGTCAGACATGTCAATCAAATTTTAACTAATAAATCACATAATTATGTTAAAATAGTACTTAAATATACACGTAGAATTTTAATATATATACATAGATGTATTTAAAGTCTACGTGTACACTTATGTAGTTATTTATATAATTATATATATATTTCTGTATATATATATATATATATTTGCGGTTATTTGTATTTTATATATAGACAGATATAGAATGTCATTCTAAGTGTATTTTGTTACATATATACACATATATATATATATATATATATATATATATATATATATATCTCAAAATACAGTTAGAATAAAATTACATATGTATATATAATTTATTAAATTTAAAAAAAAATATTTTATTATTGTAATTATAAGTGTGTATATATAAAATATATATATATATATGTATATATATATATATATAGATGTATTAGATATATAATATATCTTATATATATGTAACGTCATTCTAAGTGTATTTTAATACATATATATATACTCATATTAATATTAAAATACACTATGTATGACGTTACATATATATGATGTGTATATAATAAATATATACACATTTAATTTATTTTAAACCTGTACATTTTTATTTTTACACTAACCACCAGCAGATCCCCAGTCAGCTATAGGGGGCCATGTGATCGCTCTTTGAGAACGATCACATGGTCCCGGGGGGAGGGGGGCCTAATTTGCCGGGGAGGGCTGCCTGGGCTGTCAGGCAGCCCTCCAGAAGAGGATGCAGAGGTATGTACCTCCGATTTCCTGGGGGCTTCAACCGTTGCGGCGTTCTATGCCGCCACAATGGCTTTAAAGCCCATTTAATGCGGGACGGCATAGAACGCCGTAACGGTGTTAAGGGGTTAAACCTGAGACTGTGCAGAGTTGACAAAAGAATTGCACATTTTAGGCCAACATTAAATTTGGAAACAGATTTGTGGAGAGTGTGTGTGATTTCGGTCAATGAGCTCCACAACCTGTTTACTTGCTATTACCACATGGTAGTTGCCTCATCCCTGGTGTGAGCAAAGCCCAAAGGAGTGGTTACCTCTTCTACAAATCAGCTCAGCTCCCATTTGGTCAAACTGTAAAGGAGCAAGATAATGGGATGTGATATTATGCATTACAAGTTTGTGAGTAACTTAGTTGTGCTCATCTGTACTAGACATAGCAGAGCTCCATGTAGTTTTGGTTTATACTGACATCTGTATTTTGAACCTTCATGGACTAAAGAAAAAGTATGCTCTGTCACCTCAAACTTGCTTGTGTCCAATTGTTTCCTCTTTCAGAATCTGTTCTTTTTTTTCATTTCTGATCTAGTTCTCTATAAAACAAAGTAGAGACAGAAGGGTGGAACTCAAGGCAAGCTCCACTTCCTCTGATAAGCCAACAAACGGTGAAGCTTGCCCTAAGCTCCATTTTTTTTGGTCACAATTACAAGTGTAGGAAAAAAATTGTTTTGTGTTTTTATACGTATAATGAGGAGATATTGTTTGACTCCCTCTTAAAGGGACATTATAGACACCCAGACCACTTCATCTCATTGCACTGCACCCCTTAGTCCAGTAATGTAAAACATTGCAGTTTTAGAGAAACTGGATTGTTTACATTGCAGTGCTAAGACTGCATCTATAGGCTCTCTACCAGACAGCCATTAGATGTGCTTCCTGCATCAGGCAATGCTTTCCTATGGGGAATGCCTAATACTTGCATTTCCTCCTTTCCAATGCCTGAAGTTTAAGAAGGTGGAATGCAACCTAGTGCACTGGATTTTGGTAAGTGAAATGTAACCCTTTACATCAAGGGGGAGTAGTAGGAAAAAAGAGGCCAGTTGGGGCTGAGGAACATGTTCGTGTTGGGAATACGTTTTTCTATTTCAAACATTATAGTGTTCCTTTAACCCCTTAAGGACGGCGGGCGTTCTATGCCGTCCTTTTTGGGGCAGTCCTAAACGCCGACAGGCGGCATAGGACATCCCTGCCGTCCTTTGTACTTACTGGGTTCGACGACAGTCACGATCCTGGGAGCTCAGGCAAACCCCCTCTGCCCGATCCAGCCCTGCCCCCACACGTGATTGCGGGGTCCTTGCAATCACATGGCCAGAATAGCCGGCTTATGCAGTGCCTGCAGCGGGCCTGCCTGAGTGCTCAGGCTGCCCCCCTAATGCCTGCAAAAATGTTTATAAAGTTAACAAAAGTTAATAAAAAGTTCAATAAAGTTAATAAAAGTACTTGGATCATAGAATGTCGTTAATTATATATATATATATATATATATATATATATATATATATATATTACAAATAATTAAATTGAAAAAAACTAAATAAGGAATAATAAAAATAAATTGTAAAAAATTTTATATACCAGTTTTAATTTGTTCTAACTATTTTGATATTAATATACATATATATTCAAAATACATTTAGCATGACATTATAAATATATGTATCTATAAATCTGTCTCTTCCTCTTTTTTTCCCCCCTCTAATGAAAGCTTTGGGAGGCTATTGCGTATGTGCGACAATATGCTAAGCATCATAGAGATGCACTGATGTCCCTGTCCAATATGCTAAGCATCATAGAGATGCACTGATGTGCTGATATTCAGCACCTCAATGCAGATTGTGGAGATGCTGAATGTTGGTGCTGCGCACTAGACTAGGAGTCCCCGCTAGTGGCCGTCTGAGTGACTGTCACTAGAGGTGTTAGTAGACAGCAATGCTTTTTCTCTGAGAACGCCACTGGCCCCTACTCAGATGGCTCTTAAGGTGCTTCATGGGGCAATGCTGCAGTCTCCACCCTCTGCATAGAAATATTGAACTTTCCTCTTAGAGATGCATTGGTTCTATGAGGAGTTGCAGATTGGCCAGGGCTGTGTTTGGCCTGTGCTGGCATTGCCAGTCTCAGCCAAGCAGGCCGATCAGGGACAGAGGCAGAGGTAGTAGCAGCAGACTTGCATAGTAGGGCAAGTAGGATTTTACTATTTTTAGGGAGGCAAGGGGACCCATGTGTCAGAAATACATGTTTTGTTTTCCTGACCCTATAGTGTTCCTTTAAAGGACCACTAAAGGGCCACTCATTTTCCTGGCACTATAGTGTTAATAGGTCCCCCCCACCCTCAGGCTCCCCCTCCCACCGGACTCAAGTGGGGTTAATCACTTGCCTTTCTCCAGCGCCGGACTCCCGGCGCTGTGGACTCAACTCCCTCTTCTGACGTCATCTGAAGAATGCACATTTGCGGCAAGAGCCACGCGCGCATTCAATCAGTCCATAGGAAAGCATTTCTCAATGCTTTCCTATGGATGGCAGCTTCTTTTCACTGTGAAAATCACAGTGAGAAGCGCGGAAGCACCTCTAGCGGCTGTCAATGAGACAGCCACTAGAGGATGGATTAACCCTAATGTAAACATAGCAGTTTCTCTGAAACTGCTATGTTTACAGCTGCAGGGTTAACCCTAGATGGACATGGCACCCAGACCACTTCATTGAGCTGAAGTGGTCTGGGTGCCTATAGTGGTCCTTTAACCCCTTAAAGACACATGCCGTGTCCTTAAGGGGTTAAGTCAATTTCTGTCTATTGTGTCCATTTTGATGTATATGAGTACACGGTACAGTCCAGTTTAGATCAAACAATATAACCTTTATTCAACCTTTTTTTTTTAACAAGCCATTCATTTGCATTGATCTACATATTTTAAGCATTATTGAAGACTGAGATGCAGAGTGATAAAGTGACACATTTTATATGTATGTTTTTCTTACATTAAACTCATTCTGCTACATTTGAAATGATCAATGAAAATCACTTAGAGTTTTATTTTATTTCTTCTAGTTCCTTAAACCAACTGCAATCAGACCCCTATGAATTCACATGCCTAGATATTGGTGAATATAAAGAGTTTCAGACTGCATAACCAGGTTAAGAGATTTTAACCAGTTCTGAACATACGAGATGTCCAGAGGACTTTTTGAAAAGCAGCATGAATCAGAAATGGATCAAGGAACAATTAACAAAACGAAGGATTGCTTTCCATGTATCGTCGACTCTGATAAGGAAGAATTCTTTGAGCATGAGCTACAATGGGTGTCTGAATTTTTAAATAAAATTCTTGAGGATCCGTCTGATGATGATGATGATTTAGATGAACAGGTTTCATTACCACGAGAGCAAGATGAGGATGCTGATGATGAATACTCCTCTGAAAAATCTAGTGATTATGAATGGTCTTCTGAATCAGAGAAGGAAGATTTGACAATAAAAAAATTGCATGTTCCCTGTGAAAAGGATGATGAACTGGTGGGTCAGGAGATTGTGTGTAAGGAAAGTGAACTTTTAGGACAACAGCTCACCTTTGTGGATGTGCAAGAATGCAATGGAAATTGGGAAGAAGTTATGAGGAGAGACCTTGAGGTTTTTAGGAACTTTTTTGATAAGTACAAGAGAGACAATAAGGACATTTTGGAAAAACAAGCGAAGGAACGAATGAACTCCATGAAGAGTATATTTGTGTGGGGTGAAATATAGGGCATTTGAAATGGTCATTTTCTAATATTTAGAGATAATAAACTGTAAAGTAATGCTGTGTTTTTTTAATTTTAGATTTTTTTTAAAAATGTCATCGAATACCATGTTTACTTTAAACCTTGATTTATCCATTTATATTTTCCACTTAATGTGACCGATTTATTTAAATGGTGATTGTTCATAGATGGTGCCAAGTTTAGGCAGCTGTATGTGCATCATAACAACTTAATAGAAATGTATGTATTTTTTTTAATGAATGGGGTGCTACTGATTTGCCTAATGTCAATTGACTGCTCTAGCCAATCAGAGGTTTACTCGGGTCAGAGATGAAACAAGGAGACTCCAAACACTCCAGACACAGGTTGTTGAAGAACAAAGGCTATTTATTGTTTTGCAGCTGCAAAGTCTTGGAATACCCGACTGAGCACACATTTACAAGAGAACAAAGATTATATACCACAAATGACGTATTCTATACGTGTAAAGAGAATATGAAAATTACACCTACATTACTATAGTTACATCCAATTATTAAACTAAAACTTATCTCTTACATAGTTAGCTAATAGTGGGTGGTCCTGACACAACAGATAGTTGCAAAGTAGTTTTAACCATGTGAGCACTGAACTTTACTTAAATATACTGTAGCTTCTACCACAAGAAGAGGTAGAGCAAAGTACCAAAGTAGTGCCCCCAATCTCTATCTGTTGTGGTGATGATATTGCTGTTTCCTCCACCACTGCAGACATAACAGGTTTAGCTCTGTCCTCTTAATTCCTCTGAATCACAGTTGAGTAGCTCTTGCGACAGTCTAGATCAGGGGTACCCAATTAATTTTTCCTGTAAAACCCTTTGACATAGTGTATCAAAAGTTATAAACCTATAGCAATAGCATAAACCTTTCAATTAGCAGAGCATAAAGTTTTCCTATTTTGCAAATTTAGTTTGTGCGTGAAACCAAGAGGGCTGCACTCACCTAAACATGCATACATTATAGGGTGCTGCTGGGGCCAATATATACAAAATACACAATCCAGCGCACTTGCTTATTAACTAAACAATGATTTAAAATAACAGAGATTGTAATAGTTTTATTTAAAAACACCTCACCTAGACAAAAAAATAATGGGGGTTTAGTTACATTATACGATCATGTATTGCATAAGCCTGACACAACGTCAATTTACCCCATTCTTGGCAGGTACTCTAGTAGCCTATGCCTGCCCTTATGAGATCAATGCATGCATGATACGACTATATAAAGAGTAAAAAAAGTAGAGGCAAGCTTCTGCACTTAGAGTACATAATAATAAGTGAAAACATGAAATATAACAGTGCTTAGCTAAGATTGGGAACCACTAGGTCTGGAGACACTACAGAATTACCGCATGCGACTGAAAAGGGATAAAACGAAAAACCATAGTAGAGTATGTTGGGTGTAAAAAGTAAAAACATAGGCACAGGTTAATGTGCAAAATGATGACTGCATGCACTTTTGATATTATGAATGGGATCACCCTCAGGAGATAGTATGTATTTATCCGACAGAGATGTACTGCTGGAGCCAACTAGATGGCAGGTAATCCAGGAATCCTGGTAGTGTATGCGTGTAATCCTTCCTGATTGGGACATGGCTGAGTACTAGGATATACAGACGCCGCTGTCTGTGCTTAATCCTTCACCGGCATGGTCAATGCGATGGGGGAACCTCTTGATGGCCTTTGGGCTGCGAAGGTTTGTGTGGAGCAATTTTGCAGCTTGTTGTTGAGTTTCTCCCATGGAAAGTTCACTTCCTCCCTGTATCTCTGTACCCCTTCTTGGAGGTTTAGTTGGGGGGGGGGATGCTACCCTTCCTTCTAGCTTAGCCCAAAAGGCCTGAAAAATCTCCTCCAGCTTCAGCATAGATCATTCGACCTGAGGGGTCAGCAGCAGAGTGCATCTCTGATATGTAAGATCTTCCGATGGCAGATACTGTCGTGTATCGCTTGGTAGTGAAGCAGTAAACAGCATCCAGTGAAGGATTGGGTCTAGTCAGTGGGGAGCCAGATAACCCCCACTGGTTCGGGGGGGGGGCAGGGGGGGAAAGGGCTTTGCAGAGTCACTGTCTGGAGGGGGGATTGGCTGCCTCCCCTGCCCGTCGCTGTCACCAGGCCTCACTGTGTCCATCATAGAAACTATAGTTTGACACTGAGTGGTACTAGACCAGTACTTCACACTCGATATAAGGATCAGGTAAGTCCCAAATAGGGTCAATTGAGAGCCCAGATGGGGCAATTATTTAGCTTAAACATGTAACAAGATGAGGAGCTATCTCAAGATGTTACATAGTTACATAGCTCTAAAGAGATTTGCGTCCATCAAGTTCAGCCTTCCTCACATATGTTTTTGTTATTGATCCAAAAGAAGGCAAAAAACCTAGTCTGAAGTGCTTCCAATTTTGCAACAAACTTGGAAAAAATTAATTCTTGACCCCAAAATAGCAGTCAGATGTCTCCTTGGATCAAGCAGCTATTACCCCACTAATTACAAATTATATCCATGTATGTTATGTTTTTGCCAGTATTTATCCAATTGCAGTTTAACCATCTGTATGGACTCTGATAAAACCACCTCTTCAGGCAGAGAATTCCATATCCTTATTACGCTTACTGTAAAAAAAAATCTTTTCTTTGCCTTAGATGAAATCTCCTTTCTTCCAGCCTAAATCTGTGACCTCGTGTCTTATGTGTAGCCCTGTTTATGAATAGATTTCCAGATAATAGTTTGTACTGGCCCCGAATATATTTGTATAATGTTATCATATCCCCTCTCAGGCGCCCTTTTTCCAAACTAAAGAGATTTACATTTTTTAACCTTTCTTCGTAACTAAAATGCTCCATGCCTTTCATCAATTTTGAAGCTCGCCTCTGCACTTTTTCTAGTGCCATGATATCCTTCTTTAGAACAGGTGCACAAAATTGCACAGCATATTCAAGGGGTGGTCTTACTAGCATTTTATAAAGAGGCAAAATTATATTTTCATCCTGAGAATTTATGCCCCTATTTATACATGACAAAACCTTACTGCAGATTGACATTGCATGTTGCTGCCTAATTTGTTGTCTATAACAATTCCCAAATCTTTCTTGTCTGTTGTTATTCCTTATTCACTACCATTTAGGGTGTGAGTTGCTTTTGCATTTTTGATCCCGAAGTGCATAACTTTGCATTTCTCTACGTTAAATTTAATCTGCCATTTCAGTGCCCAGTATCCCAATCTATCCAAATCCCTCTGCAGCAAAGCAATATCCTGCTCACATTTTATTACTTTGCAAAGTTTTGTCATCTGCAAACACAGATACATGGCTTTCAATGCCTATTTCAAGATCATTTATAAATATGTTAAATAGAAGCGGTCCCAAAACAGAACCCTTAGGGACACCACTTACCATTTTTGTCCAGCCTGAAAATTTAACATTAATGACAACTTGTTGTACTCTATCATTAAGCCAATGTTCTACCCAAGAACAAGAATATTCATCTAGACCAATTTCATTTAGCTTGAAGACTAACCTATTGTGAGGAACCGTATCAAATGCCTTGGCAAAATCCAAGTAGATCACATCAGCTGCAACACCCTGATCTATACTTCTACTTACTTTGTTGTAGAATGCAATTAGTTTGACATGACCTCTGTTTCATAAAACCATGCTGATTATTGCTAATAACAAAGTTCTTCCCAATGAATTCCTGAATATTATACATTAATAGCCCTTCAAATATTTTCCCAGCCACAGAAGTTAAGCTCACAGGTCTATAATTTCCAGGCAAAGATTTTGAACCCTTTTTAAATATAGGAACGACATCTGCCTTCCTCCAATCCTCCGGTACAATACCTGAAACAAAAGAATCTTGAAAAATTAAATACAGAGGTTCACTTATTTCCCCACTTAGCTCCTTAAGTACTCAGGGGTGAATACCGTCAGGCCCCGGAGCTTAATTTACATTAATTTTCTTTAACTGCTGTAGCTCCTTGTGTCCGACTGCCATGATGTGTCCGTCTGCCATGAGGTTCAGGCCCCGCCCCCTCACACAACTGCATTTAAATGCCAACACTATACAAAGCTAGACCCCTTCATTTCACACACACATACATACTCCATAAATAAACATGTGGAATATGTTGACTCTTTAGAAATGCCAGAAATAAATAGTAATAATAAATTCATTCAAACACAATAGAACTGCTCACAAGTATAATCCTGCAAGGATTAGAAAATAGTAGATCCAGTGGTGTATCCTGGTTTTGTGCTGCCCTAGGCAGGACAAAACTCAGGTGCCCCCCTCCCCCCCGCGCCACCCCCACCCAACCCTTCCCCCCGCCCCACCTTCTAAATACACACACACACAGTCAGACACATACACAAACACACACACACACAGTCAGACACAAACACACACACAGTCAGACACATACACAAACACACACACAGTCAGACACATACACCGTCAGACACAAACACACACACACACACACAGTCAGACACACACACACACACATACACAGTCAGACACAAACACACACACACAGTCAGACACAAACACAGTCACATACACACACACAGTCAGACACATACACAGACACAAACACAGTCAGACACAAACACACACACACAGTCAGACACATACACAGACACAAACACACACTCACAAACACACACAGTCAGACACAAACACACACAGTCAGACACAAACACACACACAGTCAGACACAAACACACACACACATTAACTTTTTTTTATTTAAATTCCCCCCCCCAACCTCCTTACCTTTGGGAGTGCTGGGGGGGGTCTCTCTCCCTGGTGGTCCAGTGGCTGCAGGGCGGGCGGCGCTGGCAGGTGGGCGGCCGGCGAGGGAGCACTTCCCATGAGCTGACTGCTCAGCTCCCTCGCGCACCGCAGAGTGAGGCTGGGAACCGGAAGATGACGTCATCTTCCGGCTCCCAGCCTCACTTTGCGGTGCGCGAGGGAGCTGAGCAGTCAGCTCATGGGAAGTGCTCCCTTGCCGGCCGCCCACCTGCCAGCGCCGCTCGCCCGCCCGCTCGGGATGTCAGTTAGCCGCAAGGCTAACAAGGCATCTGCCCTGGGCATTTGGGGGGCGGCGTTTTTTGCCGCCCCCTGAAAAATGCCGCCCAAGGCAAATGCCTTGTTTGCCTCGCGGCTAATACGTCCCTGAGTAGATCCCAGCTAGCAATGCATGACAATGGATGTACAGTTTACATCCAATGTCATAATGCACTTAGTGACTATGAACTTATAGAGTACGTCCTTGGCCAAAAGTGTCATGTTCAGAGAGACTGCCCTTCTGGATGTAATAAAAGGGAGACATCCATAGCTATGTGGGGGCTGAGGGGGGCTTGATTGCTCCCCAATATGGTCGCATGCAACTGAAGCTCCTCTCGGAAACCAGATTCCTGAGTCTAATCCAGGGGTTCTCAACCCAGTCCTCAGGACCCCCTACCAGTCTAGGATTTAGGGATTACCTGGGTGTGTCTAAGGTGTTTAGAAAAAGAAAAAACCTTAGAGTCTAAGGTGTGTTTTTTTTCTTTTTCTAAACACTTTAGACACACCCAGGTAATCCCTAAATCCTGGACTGGTAGGGGGTCCTTGAGGACTAGGTTGAGAACCTCTGGTCTAATCCTAAATAGAAGTATTTGTTTTTTTGATAATAGATAGAGATATTCCTTGTCTATCACTGTTTTACTAATGATAGTGGTTTGATAGGGTGTCCCACCACTAAAAATGAAGGGGTTTGAGCCCTTGGTTAAGTACAAATAGAAAAGAGATAGTGGTGAGAAACTAGTTAAAAAGAAACTTTTGATAACATTTAAAAATAGTTCCCTGATGTAGGGATACTCAGAAAATAATGTACAATTGTACTCACTTATAAAGAGATAAATGATTAGAAAAAAGAAGGAAAATCATAGCACTAAGTAAGAGAAAAAATAATAATAATAGTAATACTAGTGCTATAACAAATGGTAGTCAAATGTAGTATAAATAATATAAAATAAATTGGTTTCTACTGGAGGAAACACTACATATACGAGAGAAAAAAATCGTAAGGATAAACAAGTTATCCTAAAAGTATCTCATTTGCAATATGTGGATAATGTGGATAATGTTGCCGGTATGCCACTAGATGTCACTCAATAGTTAAGTAAGGAATTGCTACCTAGTAGCCAAAATTCGGCAATAGAATAAAATTTCCAATTTAAAGTTTCCAATTTAAATGCAATTCCTAGAGATTTAGTGTGCATCCAGAAATTCAATAAAGATATATATCTGGGGCAGCAGAGAAGGTGTATGTGCTGGTTGGTCCCTGTTATATTCTGAAAATTAGCCAAAAACCTATTCCCTATGTTTTTGTAAGCCGGCACATGTTCCCTTCATGCTGTGAGCCAAATAATCCAGTAGTGTAAAGTTTCTTTAAATAAATGACCCTATGACCCACCATATAAAGGGGCAATTGGAGAGCCCTATAGGAGATAACCAGAAAGAAGTAGTACAAGTATCCACTAATCTGGAGGCTAACAATGTTAGAGGTTATCAAAGGTTCGAGGAAAATTTAAGAACCTCCTGGTTCAGGAGATACACCAGTATGCACCCAAAGCGCGTTTCAACCGGCAGCCGTTGCCGGGATCATCAGAAGTGATGGGGGTGGTCTATGATTTGTGCAGTTTTTAAATGAACTAGTCAGCATGGTTTTGATTAATAAGCTGCTTGGTGGGGCATGTCCACTAAGCAGTTTTTTTGTCATGTGCTCAGCAAGGGTTAATTCAGATGGACACATACTAAAAGCAATAATATATAACATAATAAGGCACAGAAAACTATAATACAACCACAGACTCAGATGTGTGCTGAAAAGGCAGACTCTTTTATTTAGTTTACAAATTATTACAAACCTAACTTATTTACTTGAAAACACGTAATTTGTTATCAAACATGTTGTACATTTGCGACCAGGCCTCTTTTTACACTTTTGTGGTGTTTGTATTTAACTGTAATTTTCCGCTCTCTCATTTACTGTTCCTATACAAATTATATATTGTTTTTTTCAGGACAAAAAAAGGCTTTCTTTACATACCATTATTTATATAATCTCATGTAATTTAATTTAAAAAAAAAATATGATGAAAAATTTTAAAAAAATACATGTTTTTTGACTTCTACTTGAAAAATCTTTTACTCATCTACAAAAGTGAATAAAAAAAACTGCTAAATAGATTCAAAATTTTGTCCTGAGTTTTAAAATACCCAGTGTTTATATGCTTTTTTGTGCAAGTTATAGGGCTATAGGCACAAGTAAGAAACTGCGGTTTCAAAACATAAATTTTTTCAAATTTATCAATAGTGACATTGTAACACTATTATCTGTCATAAATCTCTGAATAACACCCCACATGTACATATTTTTTTTAAAGTAGACAACCCAGGGTATTCGATATGGGGTATGTCCATTTTTCTTTTAGTAGCCACCTAGTCGCAAACACTGGCCAAAGTTAGCGTTCATATTTGCTTGTGTGTGAAAAAAGTAAAAAACTAAATTGAATGCTAATTTTGGCCAGTGTTTGTGACTAAGTGGCTACTAAAAAAGACTGGACATACCCCATTTGCAATACCTTGGGTTGTCTTCTTTTGCAAATGGTATGCCATCATGGGGGTAATTCTCATTCCTGGGCTACTGTACGCTCTCAAAGGCAACGTAACCAACCTGGCCATTTTCAATGTAAAAATATTTGACCCATATATTTGACCCTGTAACTTTCGAAAAACGCTATAAAATCTGCACATGGGGGGTACTGTTATACTCGGGAGACTTTGCTGAACACAAATATTAGTGTTTCAAAACAGGAAAATGTATCACAACAATTATATCATCAGTAAAAGTGCTGTTTGTGTTTGAAAAATGTGAAAAAAGTTACTTTCACTGACAATATCATCGCTGTGATATGTTTTACTGTTTTGAATCACTAATATTTGTGTTCAGCGAAGTCTCCCGAGTAAAATGGTACCCCCCATGTACAGGTTTTAGGGTGTCATAGAAAGTTACAGGGTAAAATACAGTGCTAGTAAATTAAATTCTCTGGACTTTCGGCCTGGGTTGGCAGGCAGGTCCCTCAAATTGCAATTAATAAAATTACTTAATTATGTAAAAATATTACATAAATATGCACGTAGAATATAAATATATATGCATATTTATATATTTGAAGTCTATGTGTATATTTATATAATTATTTATGTAATTTTGTATATGGACATATGTATATTTCGTATTATTTTTATTTATTTATTTATATATACGTAGATATATATACAATTTCATTCTAAGTGTATTTTGATATAAATATATATATATTATTTACATTAACTTTCATTTTTTTTATGATTTTACACTAGCAGGGAGACTGCCTGTCAGCACAGACAGTCCCCCTGCAGGCATACACATGGACACCTATTGTGACCATGTGACTGCTCTGTTGAGCGATCACATGGCCACAGGGGTCCTAATCCACCATAGGGAGACTGTCTGGGCTGCAGGCAGTCTCCCCACACCGGGAGCACGGGCGATCGCCGCCGGGGGAACGACGGCGATCAGGTAAGTACATAAGACCGTTAGGACGGTTCAGGACCCTCATCGGTCGGCAATGGAAAAATGTCGATGATGGTCCTGAACCGTCCTCAGTCGTTAAGGGGTTAAACCCCAGAGATCTAACAGATAACATAACACATAACCAGAGTTCTGCCCTATTAGCCAGAACTTAAACTAAATGATAACGAAATTCATCTAGTCCACTCCCCTCCCATCCCCCCCTTTAAATTAGGCAGGTGACCTCAACCCCACCATCTGCAGCATGCAACTAATGCTGCAGCCCACGGCCTTATCAATCATGCACTGTAAATCATCATTAAAAATATCTAAACCAACATCAGATAAATGAATACTATCCCTAATAAACAAACCTTCACACTGCCCCTCAATGTTGACATGACGAAAAGAAAAACCACCAACCGATGGCATAAATTTCTCCATGGCTTTGTTAAGCTTGCACCAAAGTCTCTCTAAAGCTTTAACCTTAGCATTGCGCAACCAAATTAACCATGGGACTATCTCAGACCAAATATTTAACGAGTCTGGGAACATTTGCTTAAAATGAAAAACATCCTCATTAAGTTGATGAAACAAGACCACTGACTTGACTCTGCCTACATCATTCCCACCATAATGAAAAATAATAACACCCACTTTCTTAACCAACTCATTAGACAAACCATGTGATACAACCTCTTTTGCAGCACCTATACGAAACAAATGAGATGTAATCCTTTTATCATCAATACCCAACCCTTTACCAAATCACCCAATAGTTGAAAAGAGATAGGGGACCTGTTATCTTGAACTGGTGCTTTTTTTTAACCAAGCCCCCTTTAACATTTGCTGAATAACAAATTCTTTAAAAACAGATTTGTTTCCCAATATCTTAAGGAAAAAAAAATTGCCTAATAAGGCTTGTTTAAATGAAAACTTGGATGCACCAGCCTAAATTGTATTAATAACATACTGAATTGCATACTGTATAGTGGGATCACTAGCGTCCTTATTTAAATTAACCATAAACCTATGCCATTCCTCCCACGCATTCAAGTATGCTTCCCAAGTGGTTGTACATAACGATAGACCCAACAAATGGCTTATCTGGGTGAAGTTAGCTCCCAAATGTGTTCTGGCAGCTTCGTTAAAACTTCGTCTGCTAGAGGTGCAAGGAATCTGAAAGACTTGAAGTCAAACGGGACAAAGCATCAGCTATACAATTACTTTTTCCACTTAAATGCTTCACTTTTACCCATACAGTTGCAAGAAAAAGTATGTGAACCCTTTGGAATTATATGGATTTCTGCACAAATTGGTCATAAAATGTGATCTGATCATCATCTAAGTCATAACAATAGACAATCACAGGCTGCTTAAACTAATAACACACAAAGAATGAAATGTTGCCATGTTTTTATTGAACACCCCATGTAAACATTCACAGTGCAGGTGGAAAAAGTATGTGAACTAATGACATCTCCAAGAGCTAATTGGAGTGAGATGTCAGCCAACTAGAGTCCAATCAATGACATGAGATTGGAGGTGTTGGTTTCAGCTGCCCTGCCCTATAAAAAACACACACCAGTTCTGCTTTTCACAAGAAGCATTGCCTGATGTGAATGATGCCTCGCACAAAAGAGCTCTCAGAAGACACATGCGGCATTTGACTGGGGCCGGTGGCGTTAGAGCGCCCTATAATGAGTACCCCAAGTGAGAGACTGACACTGCACAAGCAGTGCTTTTCGGCGTCACGGCCCCGCTCCCCCCCCCATGGCCAGTGGAGGTTATCCCGGCCTCATGGTGACGGCCCTCACAGCTACTGGAGTCCCACGCTGGTCCCAAACCAATCACCTGGACTGGCAAATGCTGCCTGAAGAACAGCCCACCAGAAGATCTGGACAGACAGACATAAATGCTGACACGGAGGAGACTACTCGTCTCCATGGAGAGGCTCTCAAATGCAGCTGAGAGGACCCTGCAGATGGATCACCCCGGGCAGCCTACCCCCTGGGGAAGTAAAGGACCCTGCATCTGGGTTTGTATGGGGCCCAGTGAAGATTGTGACCTGGCACAGTCAGTCCTGTAGGAATAAAGAATACAGACCCCCCGGTATACCAGTGGTCGTGGGGAGAGTACCCCAGTCTTAAGTGTGAGGCCGGTGCTGGACGAGACACATGGGACCAAGCACTTCATGGAAGCATATGTGGTGCTGGGGAGGTGCATGGACTTTTTGTGGGGTTCCAGTGGACTGGTCTGGACTTTGAGTGCCCTCAGTACCACAGAACACTACGCTGGAGGGTCAGCTCTGACCCGGGGAGGACAGATGGAGGGCCAGCATCCCAAGGGTCCTACGAAAGCAAACATGAGAACAGCTCCCATAAATTAAAACGGACACTGCTTAACCTTAGACACACCATGCAGCGATAGTACCTGATATGTTCTTATGCTCTCAGACAAAATCGATCTTTCGTTCCTTATCTCTGTATGCAGCAACTACAATATCTCTCATTATGCCCATACAGCTTATTAACGAGCGCACTCAATGTCACTAGCCCTGATATTTACTGCTAAACAGGCTTATAGAAATTAAGCATCTGCTTATATTTAGAAATTGTGTCTAGACTTTGGAAATATCCTGTCCAGTTTTTATTATTCTATAAAACAGGTTTAAAGAGTTTGCACGTTACCCGCACAATTATATGTTTAAAGCAGTAATGTGGCAGGTACTATGAGGTTAAGGTAAGTTCCTTCTGTTATAGTAACAGGTATTACATAAGTACGTGTTCCGGTATGTTCAAGATATCCAATGAGATATATTGACTTTCTGTCCTACTATCTGTTTTTTCCAGCAGTGTTACATCTATAATTGAATTTGCAAAGAGACAAGTTGCGATACCACGATTATCAGTTTCATTGTTATATTATCATGATTGTGATGCTAACATGTCATCATTAAATTAAGCCTCTACTCCTCATACTCATAGAAGCCACTATGGCTGGCCAACCGTGGCTTAGTTAACTGTTTCTACAACTATGTTTTGATCATTCAGGGCAAATTTACTACTGATATATTCAGTTGATGGTTGGCTTCCAAACACTTGTTAGCTCAATTACAATTCTGCTGCAATTATGTGTCCAAATTGTTATTGCATATGTAAACTTTGTTTAATAAATATTTCGCTTGATACTGATCCTAAGTTACTTAAAATTTCTGGTTATCCCATATTGCTACTCTTCAGTTCTTCCACCTATTCTACTCGCAGTTATTTCTCCCATATATATGTTGGTTTAATACAGTGACCCTTGCTATGTTCATCATCAATCATTGCTATGTTATATGACCTTGGTTTAGTCTAATTGCTTATATTCATCTTGTTCTACGGCATTCCTCCAGTCAGCTATGGTATTAACCCCTCTATTTTGCAGGTATATATTGGTTAGTCTCTTAAATATTTACTACATTACCATAGTCATTGTATGGCTCACGTGTATGGCAGATTCCAGATTATTAATTATACACGGTATTCCTTCTCCATGTTATTTCACGTTTGGACCCTTAGTGGTCTCCCAGTGATAGCTGTCACCTAAGTCTCTCTGCTCATTACTAATTTTAGGTCACAGGTAAGTGATCCTTTGTTGCCTCTAGGTTTATCACTACCGGTTAGTCGACAGGTATCACTCAGCCTTATCACTCCTATTGGGGCACTCAAAACCTACGTTTTCCTCATTTATTTAACGATACATGGGCCGACAAGAGGCTTGACTTTGAAGTTTGACCCATGCGTGGTCCACCCTATGCATACATTATACTATTTTCCCTCAATTACGATACAGGCTCTTCTACACCCCTTTCGTTTACGTATTTCTCTGGCCAAATATTAGTACAGCACATTAACGACATTTGCTATAATAAATGCAGAGTGTGTGCTTGTGTAGTGTGTATAATGAATGTAGTGTGTGTAGTGTGCGTAAAGTTAATGCAGTGTGTGTAGTGTGTGTATAGTGAATGCAGTATGTTTGTGTACTGTGTGTGTATATAATGCAGAGTGTGTGTGTTTTTGTAGGTATGTAGTGTGTGTAAAATGGGGGGTGGGTATCTTTATTTTTGTAACATTAAAAAAATTCAAAAAAAATGTTTTAGTCCCCCCTCCCTGCTTCTTACTTGGCCAGGAAGGGGGAAATGGCATTCCCTGGTGGTCCAGTGGCATGGACTCTGCAGAGGGGGCCCAGCAGGCTCTTATTTACCTACTCAGCAGCTCCCCTTTCTAAATCTTGCGGCCTGCGTGCCATGTAGAGCGTTGCCATGGTAACCCGTGGCAACGGTCTGACGGCCGCACTACTCGCGAGAGTTAGACAGGGGAGCTGAAGGGAGCTGCTGGAAAGGTAAGTAAGAGATTGCTGCGGGCCCTCCAGTACTTTATTGGCCGATACCTAAATTGCCAAAAATACTGAATCAGTCAATCCCTAATATATATATATATTTATATATATAAAAATTGATTTCAATGTAAAATGTTTAAAACGTTAAAATGTTGTTATAAGTTTGATTGAAATAGCTTTTGATTTCAGTAAATATGCTGCAAACACAACAAATGACAATTTTCAGTTCTTTATAACCTATAAAGTGTTTTGAAACTTACTGTGCATAATAATTTGGAACAGTGCATTGTAATTTTTTTATTTTTTAAAAAAAATACTGTTATCATTATGAGGTTTGTTCAATAAAATGTGAATTGTACTCTTAATAGTTGATAACAAGAGAATTATGATGACTGTTATTTACATCAATTATTTAGGTAAATGAGAAAAATATCATTTACTTAATACCGTATTTTTCGCTCCATAAGACGCACCTCACCATAAGACGCACCTAGTTTTTAGAGGAGGAAACCCAGAAAAAAAAAATATTCTGAACAAACTGTTCCATAGTGTTTCTTACTATGGGACAGTTTGTTCAGAGTATTTTTTTTTTCTCCCCTGTCCCATAATGATCTTTAACCCCCCTTTCCTCTGTCCCATAGTGATTGTTAACCCCTCCTCCCCTGTCCCATAGTGTTCTTTAACCCCTCATACCCTGTCCCATACTGTTCTTTAACCCCTCCTCCCCTTGTCCATTAGTGTTCTGATCCCATAGTGTTCCCCCCTCCCATTGTCCCATAGTGCACTTTCCCTCCCATAGTGTCCCCCCCTCCCCTTGTCCCATAGTGTCTCCCCCTCCCCTTCTCCCATAGTGTCCTCCCCTCCCCTTCTCCCATAGTGTCTCCCCCTCCCCTTCTCCCATAGTGTCTCCCCCCCCTTTCTCCCATAGTGTCCTCCTCCCCTTCTCCCATAGTGTCCTCCCTCCCTTCTCCCCCCTCCCCTTCTCCCATAGTGTCCCTCCCTTTCTCCCATAGTGCTCCCCCTCCCCTTCTCCCAGTGTGTCCCCCTCCCCTTCTCCCCATGTCCCTCCCTTCTCCCATAGTGTCTCCCTCCTCTTGTCCATCCCCATGTGTCCCCCATTGATATACATAGTGTCCCCCCCTCCCATTGTCCCATAGTGCACTTTCCCTCCCATAGTGTCCCCTCCTCCCATTGTCCCATAGTGCACTTTCGCTCCCATAGTGTCCCTCCCTGCCATTGTCCCATAGTGTGTCCCCCTCCCCTTGTCCCATAGTGTCTCCCCCTCCCCTTGTCCCATAGTGTCTCCCCCTCCCCTTGTCCCATAATTACTTACCTGTCTTGGAGCGTGGGCCAGCTTCACAGCGCGCTCTGCGGTGCAGGAACTTCAATTTCAGGTTCCGGTTTCCGGCGGGACTGAAAGGAAGTGTGCACGCTGAGTGTGCACTTCCTTTCAGTCCCGCCGGAAACCGGAACCTGAAATAGAAGTTCCTGGACCGCGGAGCGCGCTGTGAAGCCGGCCCACGCTCCAAGACAGGTAAGTAAATCTTCACATTCGCTCCATAAGATGCACAGACATTTCCCCTCACTTTTGAGGGGAAAAAAAGTGCGTCTTATGGAGGGAAAAAAAATACGGTAATTTGGAACAGGGTGTAGTTGCTGAGAACCTCACCAGCACAATTTATAGCTCAAAGGCAAGGCTAGCTTAACATGGGCTACATGTCACACACAGAACTTTAAAGGACGACTTTAACAGGTTATAAATACTTAAAGGGACACTATAGTCACCAGAACAACTACAACTTAATGTAGTTGCTCTTGTGACTATAGTCAGCCCCTGCAGTCTTTTTAATCTAATCACTGCCTTTTCAGAGAAAAGGCCGTGTTTACATTGCTGCCTAGGGACACTTCTAGTGGCCACTCTTCAGGCGACACTAGAGGGGGTTCCTGGGTCAGTGTTGCACAGTGTGCATCACTGGCGTTCAGAGTCTCCATGCATTCAATGCATCTCTATGAGGAGATGCTGATTGACCAGCGTGGCATTTGGCTCCACCTGCCATCCCGCCACCTTGGGTAAGGTCATCAGAATTGACAATCTCAGTCAATCTAATGTTTTCGTATGGTAAAGCATTGTGAGTCGGATCAGGGGTGGAGCCAGTACTGACAGACCCGTGCTGTGCTGCAATAAAGGTGAGTTTTTACTCACCTTTATTACAGGGTGAGGGGGGGAGGGCAGGGAAGCTAAATAGTTAGTTTAGCACTATATGGTCAGGAATACACATTTGTGTTTCTTTAATGAAATATAAACTGACTAGTTAATCAGGAAGAGGCTGTGTGTGTGAAGGCATAACATAGGTTATTGGTGGACAGCAAATATCAAATATCATAAACATTGTTGTGCAAGTAAAAAATAATTTGTTAAAAATATTTTCTGCAGAGTATAACATTTTTATATATAATGAACCAAGATATTATACTTAATAATCCACATTGTACAATACAGTTTTCCAAACTCTATAGCTTGCCATTTTCGAGAAACCATTTGGCCACACTAGGAAT